AGTTGGGAGGTTGGCCTAGGGTTCGCTCTCTTGTTCGTTTCACAATTGTTCATGCATAACACATTTAGAGCTCTCCAAGATCAAAATCACGGATGGTGGCAGAGGAGCTCGTGTGGCAACACAGGTGAGTCTCTCTCCTCAGCCAAGCCATCTTGAGCATATGCTACAGGTTCACAAGTAGTTCCTGTGCATAATCAAGATGCCCGACTTGGGCACTATGGTGGAAGTGCATAAGCAGTGAGCATTACATTCCAGCAAGCAGGATCAAGCTCTGGCATTCTTTCAAAGAATGTCAATTACATTTTAAGTCTGGAGTCTTACAATATGATTATACAATACAAAATGATATATATGGTCCTTTAAGCATGACAAAGTGCTCCCCTGCGAGTAGAGCTGCTCCACCACCGTTTGTCCCGTCATTTGCTCCACTGCAAATGCCCACACCAATCCAACCATTGCCTGTTTGGCAGGTTCACATTAGTTACTTGGTTGATCTAGAAAAAAACACGAAGAAAAATCACTAATTGCTTACCAGTCTTCTGTTGATCATTTCTGGGCCAGCTCCATCAAACGCCATCAAGCTGGGGAACGATCGATCGCCAGTCTCTAGTCGCCTCTCAACCTCTGGCCTGGGATAGAGCGATCCGGACAATGGGACGGCTCCAAACACGGAGCGCTTCTCCGACTCGTTCTCGGCCTGGTTCTTGAGCACTCCTCGCGGGTTATCTCCTTCTTGGTGCCGTCGAGAACGCCACTGATGCCGCCATCACCACCATCCCTTGATTTGTTCAAGGACACTCTTACTACTACTAGATTTCTTGTCCCGATGGAGCTTGTGGGCGATTGCGATTGGACATGGATTTTGTTGGAGATGAGCGAGGAAGAAGAGAGAGCTGTGATACCACTGCCTGAGATGAGTGCCATTGTTTTGAGCTGCAAGTTAGCTAGCAAAAAATTCAACTGTGCAATGAGCTACTTTCTTTTACGTTTGAGATAAAGGTACTTATATGGTATGGGGACCGTACATGGCAAAATTTAGATCCTGGCTCGTGTCCACTGTATGTGTCACACATCTTTTGCGGTGAAAATGGCCGAAGGTGAAACTTCTCTAGAGAATGCAAGGTGTGATATTTTGGGCTTTCATTTTGTTTTCCAATCAAATTCGTACACAGGGATGCTCTTTTGTCTGCACAATAAGCATGTTAATGTAATGCTGTTACTTTAAAATATTAAACAAGATTGTGTTGCATTGTAGCAACCCTTGGTTTGTTTTTGTTTTTAAATATTTTTTATTACTATATATAATTTTTTATAATCTGTCCAATATGCAGGTGTTATTCCTGCTTTTGTATATATTACATCTTTTATCCATATAAGATTTAAATTCGGCTCCATATGTTTTTTTCATCTATTGGGTTGTAAAAAAAATATGGAAAGTAAAAATATTATCATTCCCTACTTTTAAAAAAACTATGGCATTTTTAATGTAGATGTTAATGAAAGTAAGATATTTTCATGTGTTCAATTTGTTTAGCTTTGTAAGTTGTTTTTATAAATTCATGATGCTGACCTTTAGATTATTTGGTAAAAAAGGAAAAAAATTATTGCAATAACTCCTTTACATAAATATATATGTTTATAATAAATAGAAAAAATGCAACTTATAAGTGACTCACACAAATCCACTAAATCCAGGACAATGATTCTTTAAACTTCTTATAATCCCTTGGGCTTGATTCAGCAGTTTATATAATCATTAAATTTGAGGAGTCTAATTCGTATGTATTCAAATAAACAAATATAATGCAATCCCTTTTGGAAATAGATAATTGCAAGTTTGTTTTGATTTTTCATTATTATTAATAAGCACTTCTTTGTCTCAAAATCTCATATGAATCAACATTCATGATATAAGCTGTTGTTGTTATCATGAGTGCAATATTTATTTTTTATTTGATTTTACAAGACAAAGTTCCTCTCTATACAGATGTGGAGGTTTCAAACTCACCCAGGCGTTTTCACTATAAAGAAGAGGAAGAGAGTTGAGTGAGACATAAGACAACATCATGGAAAACTCGTACAGTCTTGAAGAACCAAA